GGAGGTCGCCGCCGGAGCCATCAGCAGCAGCAGCAGCGGCGGCGGCGGGATGCGGGGCGCGGGGGCGGGCCGGCCAGGAGTAATGGCGACGTAGGAGCGACCGGCGAAGGCAATACTCAGTCCGCCATGTGGCCGCAGCAGAGCCGCCAGCTCCCCGCGGACGTCGGCGGAGGCTCCCCGAGGGGCGGAAGTCCCCTGGGCGAAGAGAGGCTGGAGGAGCCCAACCAGGTCCTCCTCAGCACCCTCATGCAGCTCCAGAACGCCCAGTTCTCGTCGGGCCTCGCGCACCCTCCTGCGCCAGCCCTCAAGGACACGGACGCCCTCCTGTCGGCCATCCACCAGTCGCAGATGCTCTACTACTCCTACTGCTCCCAGCTCATACAGACCCTCAGGAGCAAGCAGGCGCACCAGGAGCAGCAGCAGCAGAAGAAGCGGCACGAGGAGCGGCAGACGCGCCTGGAGCACGAGGCCGCCGCGCTCAAGAGACAGTCGTCGACGTCGTCCTCGTCCCACGAGGACTTCCAGACCCACGTGGAGGAATGCGAGGACGCGGACGACGGCGACGAGTACCTGGACGTCACCGACGAAGACCACGTCGAGGACATCAACTCCATCCTCCGCACGAGACTCAATACGCAGGTGAGGACGCTGACGACGGCCATGTGTGCGTGTTATTAATAGATGGAAACTCGTGCGTGTAAGATAAATGTATGCAAATCTCTCTCTCTCTCTCTCTCTCTCTCTCTCTCTCTCTCTCTCTCTCTCTCTCTCTCTCTCTCTCTCTCTCTCTCTCTCTCTCTCTCTCTCTCTCTCTCTCTCTCTCTCTCTCTCTCTCTCTCTCTCTCTCTCTCTCTCTCTCTCTCTCTCTCTCTCTCTCTCTCTCGATAGATCTACCGTAATCGAAACAGAGGCATCCGTGTGAAGTGAAAACACCACAGTATTTACGACTGCAGTAAATAGGCCTGATCTTTGATTTTAGGCCTATGGTTTTATAAGCATATCTTTAAATTCTCTCCCTCCCCACATGCCCCCTGGCGAGCAATCAGGGACTGTCACATTCCCTTCTTTCTTTCCCTCAATTCCCTTCTCTCTTGGTTGATTTCTTTCTTGATTATGTCAAATAATTAAATATACATGTACACACGTCACTCAAGTTGCAATTTTCAGCATCTGTCACTGACGGTTGTGAAGATTGCCGTCTCGAAATCAACGTGCATATTAATTAAAATCTGAAATATATTTTCCACTGATGGTTTTTATTGATATTTGGTGTATATATTCAGTAATGTGTGCGAATAGGTGCGTAAATATATGTAAATAAGGGTCATTTGCATACGCAGATACCGACATGTAGTGTGATACATGTACAAGATACATGTACATATACACGTAAGAATAGATAGATGAATTTATCGACGGATAGAGAGACAGATAGATACCCAGAGAGAAAGAACTAAAAATAGAATTATAGACATAGACAGAAACCTACATATTTATACGTGGTCCCATGTATATATAAATTAGCATATTTTCTCTTTTCCTACCTTTCCTTCCCGATTTTTCGAATCGAAATGATCCCATCTGAAGAGTAAACAGAATGTAAATATATTTCTAAAAACATTATAACTTCAGGGTATTTATTGCGCGGACGATATTCATAGTGAAAAATGTAGAAAATGTACGAATGAGAATGAATATCTTCACAATACAAGAGATGCATTTGACCAGTTTTGAATATATCTTCGTCAGAAATACAGTATGTTTTTGACGATGTGGTCGGAACCGATTAATTAAAATACATCTCTTGTATTGTGAAGATTTTTTATTCTCATTCATACCTTTTCTACATTACGGCGTGAAATTTTCATGCTATAAGGCGGTGATTTTTCGTTTGTTTGTTTGTTTGTGGTGAAGGTACCTTATGTTTGTGAATTTGTTGTTTATTTATTTGTTTATTGTTTATTGTATATTTGATTATTTCATTCGGTAATCTGATAGATCTTTTTTTACTTCATTTATTCGTTAATTTATTTGCCTCCCCAATCATTTTTTTATAAATTATATATGTATCCATTGTTATTTTGGCTTCATTTGTTTATTATTACATTTATTTCAATTACATATCTTTCCAAACACTTTTCAATTTATCTATTTACCACGATCACTTTATCTATTCATATATATGTATACATTTTTCTATTTATCAATCAACCAAACGCCAATCCCATTAAAAAAAAAAAAAAAAAAAAAAAAAAAAAAAAAAAAAAGCTATATCCGAGCGTGTGAAAATACGCCCCAAGTGGACATATATATAAAAAAATTGCATTAAGAACCGCGTAACATATGACTTCAAGCGAACCGCAGAACCGGAGAGATTCGGTTCCGAGAAGGTCCCAACGTCCGGTTCTGGGGAAGATCTTGACCGGAAATTCGGGGTCTGGGGCGGGGGTAGGGGGGGCGGGGTAGGGGCGGGGGGGGGGTGGCGGGGTTGGGGTTGAGGGGGGTAAGGGGAAAGGGTTGAACCACCCTTAGCAACAAGAGTACTTGTCGTGCTTGTTTTAGGGTGGGAAGTGGAGGGGGCGTGGGAGGGTGGGAGGGGGTGGGGTGTGTGGGGGGGGGTGTTTCGTATTTTTGGATACGTTATTATTGTTGTTTCTGTCGTTGTTATTGTTGTTATTTTTATCATTAATGCCGCTTATTTATTATTGTTATCATTATCATCATCATCATTATTATTATTACTATTATTACTACTACTGCTACTACTTCTAAAACTACTACTACTACTACTGCTACTATTGGTGTACTACAACTATTGCTACTACTACCATTAATCCTACTTTAACATCATTATTACTTCTATCATTATATCATTATCATTATCATCACCATCACCACCACCATAACCATATTTACCATGCAGCATACCTGTTTATCATTATTTATTCCTCTCTCTCTCTCTTCTCTTCTTCTCTCTCTTCTCCTTCTCTTCTCTCTTCTCTTCTCTTCTCTTCTCTTCTCTTCTCTTCTCTTCTCTCTCTCTTCTCTCTCTCTCTCTCTCTCTCTCTCTCTCTCTCTCTCTCTCTCTCTCTCTCTCTCTCTCTCTCTCTCTCTCTCTCTCTCTCTCTCTCTCTCTCTCTCTCTCTCTCCTCTCTCTCTCTCTCTCTCTCTCTCTCTCTCTCCTCTCTCTCTCTCTCTCTCTCTCTCTCTCTCTCTCTCTCTCTCTCTCTCTCTCTCTCTCTCTCTCTCTCTCTCTCTCTCTCTCTCTCTCTCTCTCTCTCTCTCTCTCTCTCTCCCTCTTATAATTTTCTTCTAAAATTAACCTTTCCCACATTTATACAAGTAATTAGGATTAACGACACAATTTACGAGGAGGCATAATAGTTGCTGTTTAGTTGCTAGGTCGTAAGGTTGCAAGTCCTTTGCTATGGAGTCGGGGGAGGAAGAAAGTGCTATGAGACGCGCGTTCATAGATGAAAGAAAGGGAGATAGGCAAAGGGAGGGATAAATAGGGAGAGATATTAGTCATGGAGTTTTGTGTATGTATATGTATGTTGTTGCTGTTGTTGTTTTTTCTTTTTGTTTATTTTATTATTGTTTTTATTCGTATTTCTTTATATTTTTTAATTTTTCTTTTTCTTCTTCTTCTCTTCTGCTTCTTCTTCTTTATTTCTTCTTATTCACTTCATCTCTTTTGCATTTTCTTTGGTTCTTAATATCTTCCACTTCTCTCTTTCATATTTTTCCTTCTTCTCCTTCACCCACCTCCCCTTCCCCTCCCCACTCCCCACTCCCCCACCCCCACCGCCCCCTTCCCACCTCATCCCCCTTCCCCCCCAACCCCCACCCCACTACCTCCCCTTCCCACCCCACCCCCCACCTTCACCTCCCCTTCCCCCACCTCCCACCCCCACCCACCACTCCCCCTTCCCCCACCCACCCACCCCACCCCCAAAAACCCGTCTCTAAGCTTCGGATAATGACCGTGCGGATAACATCACTTGCGGTCGGCACACTCCACCGACGTGACGTAAGCAGTGACGTCATCGGCGGGTCGTAAAGCGGTGCCCAGCGGAAGCTCGTAGCCGCCTTTACGACCGACTCACCGACCGGCCGACACGCATTGGTCACGTCGCTTGTTCGGCCGATCTGGTAGGGGGGGGGGATGCGCGTGCGTGACACTTGGCGGGCGGTATCTTTGTTTTTTTTCTTTTTTTTTTTTTTTTTTTGAGGGGGGGGTAGGGGTAGGGGAGGGGTGGAGGGTCATATATAATTCCTTTTTTTTTTTTTTTTTTTTTTTTTTTTTGCGTGTATATATTTTCTTTGTTTTTATTCTTTTTTTTTCTTTGCTTCTTTGCCTCTTTTTTGTGATCTTCATCAATGTTTATTTCCCTTCTTTCTTTTTTCTTTCTCTCTCTCAATCCTGATCTTTATCACTGTGTTTTATCATCTTTCTTTTTCTTTTTCGACTTCGTCTTCTTCTTTTCTTCGTCTTCTTTTTATTCGTCTTCTTCTTCTTCTTCTCCTTCTTCGCCCTTTTTCTTCTTCGTCGTCTATTTCTTCTTCTTCTCCTTCTTCTCCTTCTTCGTCTTTTTCTTCTTCGTCCTTTCTTCTTTTTCGTTTTCTCCTTCTTCGTTTTTTTCTTTTCTTCATTATTTCTTCTTTTTCGTCTTCTCCTTCTTCATCTTTTTTACCTTCTTCGTCTTTTTCTTATTGTATATACATATGTATATTTAGATATAGATAGATAGATAGATAGACAGACAGATTAGATAGATAGATAGATAGACAGATAGATAGATAGATAGATAGATAGATAAAGAATGAAAGTCAAAACTCGCTCGAAAAGGACCAATATATTTTAATTTACGTTTTTACATGTTTATTCCTCAATTTATGTAGAAAGATTACCTTAATTGGTCTATTTCATACCTGCTCCCACACATACACATACATAACCATATCCGTGTACATGTATGTATGTATGCATCCATGTATGTATTTATGTACATATGTATTCATACATGTATGTATTTCTGTATATATGTATGCATCCATGTATGTATTTATGTATATATGTATGCATCCATGTATGTATTTACGAGTGATATACTATATATAAGAGAAAGGACAGATAGATAAGTAGATAGATAGAAAAGTAGATAGATAGCTATTCAAATATTCATAAACTATTGAATTATTAAACAAGATATTTTTTATGTTGACTGCCCATGCGTGTCTCGAATTAAAACACGTATTAGGGATAAAAAAACAAAAAAGTCGAATCATTTTGGAATGATTATTGCCACAGGGTAGGGCATTGGAGTGGAACGTGGTAACTGAATACGAAAAAACGAAGACATTTTGAAGAAAAAAAAATCATCTTTTTTTTTTCTTGTTCTTCAATTTTTCTTCTTGAAGAGTTTTATGATAAGGATGACAGTTAGATTGGGAACGAAAAGGAATTAAAAAAAAAAAAAAGTGAGGTGTAGGGTTATATGAAAAGAATGAAAATTGAATTAGTAACAAAGAAGAAAATTTGCTGTAGAATTACATGATAAAAGAAACGAAATGCGAGACAAAAAATAAGAAAATTTGAATAAGCTAAAAAAAAATGTTATAGAGGTTATATGATAATAACAAGAAATGAAGAAGAAAAAAAAGTTTACCTGTAGAGGTATACGAATAGATAAAAATAGATACGTAACGAAGACAAATAAAATGTAAAGATGATAAAAAATAAAATCAAAACGAAATAGATTTCTTCTAAGCCAAAAATAGAGTTAACCTACAATAACAGAAACCAAATATGCAACGAAGAACAAAATTTAAAAAAAAAATCACCTATATAATAAAAAACAACCTGTAACTGCAACGAAAAGATAATTAAGTGAATTATCACGGTTTTTCGTTCTCTGTTCTTTCGGTGTAGAACTTTGAAACGAGTGAGAATTCTGATAATAACCCGCATTACTGTTTGATTGACACTCACCCTAATTAAGGAATAAGAGAATCAAGGGGTAAAGGGGGGGGGGGAGAGGAGAGTGAAGGGGGGGGTGGGGGGAGGGAGAGGAGAGGTGGGGGGGTGGGGGAGGGAGAGGAAGGGGTAAGGGGGTGGGGGGAGGGAGGAAGGGTAAGGGGGTGGGGGAGGGAGAGGAAGGGTAAGGGGTGGGGGGAGGGAGAGGAAGGGTGAGGGGGTGGGGGGGGTGAGGAAGGGGTAAGGGGAGGGTGGGGGAGAGAGAGGAAGGGGTAAGGGAGGGAGAGGGAAGGAAGGGGAAAGAAGGAGAGGAAGGAGAAAAGAAGAGGGGGGGGGAGAGAGGAGAGGAGGGGAGGAAGGAGAGAAAGAGATAGAGGAGAAGAGAAGAGAGAGGGGAGGAGAAGAGAGGAAGGAGGGAAAGGAGAAGAAAAGAGAAAGAAAGAAAGCGAGAGAGAGCAAGGGACAGACACACACATAAAGAGACAGAAAGACAGAAAGACAAAACGAAAGAAAAAAAACCCAAAAAACAAATCACCAGAGACACAAAAACAGCCAAACAAAACAAGACACAGGACCACAGCAACCCCTTCCCTATGAGCCCCGCCCCTGGGTCTGCTCACCCATGGAGCCGTGGGGGTATACAAGCCACTTTTTACGAAGGACTCTGAGGTACTTTAAACCCCCTGAGGAAGATGGGAGAGCAGTGATGGGAGGGGGGGAAAGGGGGGAAGGGGGAAGGCTAGGGGTGTTGAGGTACAGATAGAGGGGTATAGAGGGCACAGATAGAGGGGTATATAGGGCACAGATAGAGGGGGGGCATAGATAGAGCGGTATAGGGAGACAGATAGGGGTATATGGGGGACAGATAGAGGGGTATAGGGGGGACAGATAGAGGGGTATATGGGGACAGATAAAGGGCATATGGGGGCACAGATAGAGTGATATATGGCACAGATAGAGTATAAGGGCACAGGGGGGGGAACAGATAGAGGGGTATAGGGGGCACAGATAGAGGGTATAGGGCACAGATAGAGGGGGGGTGCGCGCGCATAGAAAATGGGTAGATTGATAGATGGGTAAGTAGGTAGACTGGTCTGCACACGCACAAAAACGGCCATGCAAACACACATATGAGCGTACATAAGTGTGTGTGTGTGTGTGTGTATGTGTGTGTGTGTGTGTGTGTGTGTGTGTGTGTGTGTGTTTACGCGCTTATGTCTACGCGTATGATTTTCAGTAACACATAGTTCATTTCGAATTTCACTCATTCATTAAAGCTTCATCTAGAATACTTCATCATGTGCGTTTACTTGTAAATAAAAAAAGATGAAACAAACAAACAAAAAACGCAGACCGACCGGGCAAAAAAAAAAAAAAAAAAAATCATGTGCGTGCTGACTTTGAACGCAATTAGAGAACTGGTTGCAGGTGGAAAGGGAGCTAAATGACAAAGGACCCTTTCTGTCTCTCTCTTCTCTTCTCTTTTCTTTTCTTCTCTTCTCTTCTCTTCTCTTCTCTTCTCGTCTCGTCTCTCTCCTATTTTTATTCTCATTCTTTCTCTTAATTTTAATTTAATACATAATGCCTTATTGAATGTCACAATGTAAACGTATTTCCCAGGAGGAAGTTCCCTGCTGCGAGCGCGACTTCTGACGCCTCGCTGCCACGTCCCATTCTCGCCTCGCTCGCATCACCTCCTAACCCTCGGCCTTTTCCCTCCTGCAGGAAGCGCTGACGCCGTTCGACCGCCAGTCCTCGTGCGCGGGCTCCCCCAGCAGCGCCCTGCCCTCCAGCACGACCGGTTTCGACGACCCGGAGGACCTGTCCCCGTCCGACGGTGCAGGAGGCGCCCGGAAGCGCGCCCCTCGCGCCCTCACCGGCAAGCACGTCCGGCCGGGCACCGGGGCGTCGGCCACCACCCTCCTCACCCTCCGGCAGAAGCTGGAGGAACGGCAGAAGTTCCGCGAAGTGCACGGCGCCGCCCCAACGCCCCAGCCCCCGCCCAGGAGCAAGGCGCGCCCCAAGAAGAAGTGAGGTGGCGACGGGGTGGCGCTGTTGCCGCGGCAGATGTTGGGCGCGACCTTGCGGGCGGGAGGAAGGCTCCGAGGGGCGCGCCGGTGCTCAAGGGTTTTTTGCCAAAGACGACGAGGGAGGCGCGCGGGAGACAATGGCCGGGATCATGGACGAAAGATGCGTGGAAAGGAGAAAGGAATTCACAGACAGCAGTAATGCCGCGACTGGTTGCTTCTTCCTGGGAAAAATACTTTCGGAAAGATGTATAGATATGTATAAGGTTCCTTTTACTTCCCAATATGCAAGAGCTTGCGGTAAAAGACGAGGCTATGAATATTGCAAAAATATGTATGCCTTCAATTCTTGTTCAAGTATAGAATGCATAGTTGACTGCAACTTGCCAAAATAAAATCATCTATGGCAACACAAGCAGCCAAGTCGAATACTGTAGTGTGTTATGAGACAGCAAATCGTTCGGTAACAACATATGGTGACTCAGCAGTGTTATTTCAGTCAACACCAAAGGATAATGTTACAGTGATTCAAAAATAGTTCTTTTGGTGAGCAAAAAAAGAAAGAAAATGTTATGTCATCCTATTTGGCATAATCATGTTTGTAATTTCAGCGTCAAATATTGTAAGAGAACATGATGATTAATTAGATAAGATGCGATATATAAGACATTTTCTTCCGCCCTGAGAAGATGGCGATTCAAGGAGGAAAAATGCAGAGAGAAGTTGCCAGGTCGTAATTAATGATCCGATTAACCACGTACACTGCAACTTCTCGTAGTTATTTTTAAAACAATTTAAGTGGGAAAAAACGGAATTTTCACCTCTTTGGTTTTACAAACAGCTTAATGCGGATCCCAATTGAAGTTAGAATGCTTTGGTGTTGAGAATATTGCACTGCTAAATACAAAACTGATTTGCAAGTCTGTAAGTGTCTTGCATCAAGTTCTTGCATTAAAACGAGGCTACAGCAAAACATATCATTTAGATTTAAGTTTAATTTCCTTCGGCTATAACGACTTGAAAAAAACTATATTATAACGAAGGCTATCATTACATTCCAGAATTTAATCTCATTCCTTGTAGATTTATTAGTACTAAATTTGCCGACGTATTTTTACCCGAAAGAATGTGAATATAAAATGAAAGACGACCAGTGAGAACAATTATAAAAAGAAGTGTCTATTCTTCTCTGAACAGGAAAAAGAACAGATAAATATGTCTCTGAGAATGAGATACTTCAGAAGCAAGAGACAAAGTAGAAAAAAGAAAGAAAATTGGTCATTGGAAACCGAGCTCCGTTTAGTGAGTGGAGATAACGTGCGTAAAGTTTTAACGAGTCGATTTTTTTTCTTTCTTCTCTCCCATTTATATTATATTTCCCTTCGAATTTCTTTGTGTAGTTTTCCACCTTGAAATAATCATGCCGGGCATTGTCTTGTGTTCTCTTGGCTTTAATTTTCGTTAAATATTTTGTAAATACCAGTGTCGCTCAGAATTAGGTTTAGATATGTATCCCCCTTGTAAATATACCATGTAGAACTCATGTATTACTGAATTATCTTTTATACATAGTTGAGAATGCTACCATGCTTCCATTCTTTATTGATAATGAAGATAATGATAATAATAATGTTGATATTGATAATTCAGATTTCTCAATTAAGCAGAATATTGCTATCAAACATTTTTTTTTTTTTTTTACTCAAGTATGTTTTTTGTTCTCATATTTTACTTTGGTCTCTCTTTCTCTGTCTATCTATCTGTGTGTTTATATCTGTTTACTGCCCCCTCTCTCTCTCTCTCTCTCTCCTCTCTCTCTCTCTCTCTCTCTCTCTCTCTCTCTCTCTCTCTCTCTCTCTCTCTCTCTCTCTCTTTTCTTTCTCTCTCTATCCATTTGTTTATTTATCTATCTATCTTTTTATCTCTATGGCTTCCAGAACGGCCTAACCGCTACCTCCTCCAGTGCCTAGTTAAACTTTTGATGTCTATTAATAGA